TCTTGATCTGGGTCTATCTCATCACAACCAATTAAGCAACTAATCGATTTCCTCTGTCGGCAGGTGACTTCAGTGAAAGAATTAACCAGCCAGATTTGCCAGATTTGTGGGGACGAGATCGAGTTCACTGTAGACGGCGAGCCATTCGTGGCCTGCAATGAGTGCGCTTTCCCAGTCTGCAGGCCTTGCTATGAGTACGAAAGGCGTGAAGGGAATCAGGCCTGTCCACAGTGCAAAACCAGGTACAAGCGCATTAAGGGCAGCCCGCGAGTAGATGGGGACGAAGATGAAGATGAGTTTGACGATCTTGAATATGAGTTCGATTACAGTAATGGTAACGAGAAGAGAGATCAATTATCCGAAGCTGGTTATTCAAATCGATTGGGACGTTCGGCTTCCGGTATCACTAATCAATCTGAGTTGGATCCTGTCAACTCTGAGATTCCTCTTCTTACTTATGGCCAGGAGGTAGATTTTTTTCTGGTTTTTTGGAAGAAAGATTCGATTTTTATTGAAAATGTTAATGATATGTTTAGTTTTTTGTATGAAGGATGATATTTCTGGTTTTTGGAAGAAAGATTCGATTTTTATTGAAAATGTTAATGATATTTTGAGTTTTTTTTGTATGAAGGATGATATTTCTGGTTTTTTGGAAGAAAGATTCGATTTTTATTGAAAATGTTAATGATATTTTNCGGATTCATCCATAACTGTGAGTGTGTTATTATTGATTATTTCTTTTCTTTTCTTGTTAATTGATTTTCTTGATTGGGAGTTTGATTCATGGAGATTGTAATGTATTTTTGTGCAGTACCTCCAAGGCCTATGGATCCCAAGAAGGATTTAGCTGTGTATGGTTATGGCACTGTTGCCTGGAAAGAAAGAATGGAAGAATGGAAAAGAAAGCAAAATGAGAAGTTGCAAGTGGTGAAGCATCAAGGAGGTAAAGATGGTGGAGATGAATTTGACGATCCTGATTTACCCAAGTGAGTCAACTTTCCCTTTTTTCTCATTTTCATTTTTGTTCTTCTTTTTTTGTTTTTATGTTTTCTAGAGAAAAGAAGAAAAAAGTACTTTTTCATGTGCTGGTTAGAGTGTCGGTGTGGACTGGCATGTTCTGTTTTCTTTTCTTTATTTATTTATTTATTTATTTATTTTTTTCCAATTTTTATAATGTTCTATTTATAATATTGATTTCATTGGCTGGACTTAATAGCTTTGGCAACTGCTACCTTATGTAGCCATTGTTAATTGCATGAAGGTATTAGTACATTTAAGTTTGATATTAAAAAGTTTGTGCTAACAACACTAATTATTAAAGCCTTGATGGCCCATTATGTGAAGTCTGTCTTGCTGTACATGAAAAAAAAAAAAATGGTTTTGTTTTTCTTGGGGTAGTGGACTTGCTTTGGTACTGGTCTGGAGAGAACAACCAAATGCATTTTTGGCAGTCCACTGCCAAATTAATTAACTATTAATTTTCCTTTGCACCACTTATCTATCTAATAATTCTCCTATTATTTAATATGCCATGTGAAAGAGGAGGAGATGCATTGAATTAAATGTAGTAATAGGATTGTCAAAGAATTGTGCTTGTACAGGAACATTAATCATCTATATTATTATTTTATAAAGGATGAACATTATATTCTTCAGCAACCAGTTATCTAATTTTCGAGCTTTAATCTGTGTGGAGCTATTGAATAAATCTGACATGTGCATTGGACAGTCTGTCTGCAATTTATGTTTAGGGGACATGATGAAAAATGCATGCATATCGAAAAATATGTGAGATTATTTCAATAGATTTCTAGTGCATCACATAAAATTCATCTGTATATCACCTTAAAAGTAAATATATAGATAACCGAATTCTAGTTGTGTGCAAATGGAAGTCCAAGCTTTTGTGCAAAGTCGGTAAAAAAAAGGTTCAACATGCATTTGCGTTTTACAGGTCATCTCAAAGCTATATAAAACACCTTTCTCATGAACTGTTAATTAATAATTATCTAACATCAAACTTCCGTCATATTCTTTATTTACAGGATGGATGAAGGCAGACAGCCACTTTCGAGGAAGCTACCGATTCCTTCAAGCAAGATAAACCCTTACAGAATGATCATTCTACTGCGAATGGTGATCCTTGGATTGTTCTTTCACTATAGAATTCTTCACCCAGTCAATGATGCATATGGACTGTGGCTAACCTCGATTATATGCGAGATTTGGTTCGCTGTCTCGTGGATATTCGACCAGTTTCCCAAATGGTTCCCTATCGTGCGTGAAACTTACCTTGACAGGCTGTCTCTAAGGTATTTATTTCTTTATTTTCGGTTATAAAATCGTGGAAATGGAGAAAAAAAAAAAATATATGTTTTTTGGATAGTTAGTTATTCTTGTTTGAAATTTTTCATTAGGTATGAGAAAGATGGAAAGCCATCCGAGCTGTCTTCGGTGGACGTGTTTGTGAGTACTGTGGACCCCATGAAAGAACCTCCCCTTATTACGGCAAACACGGTTTTGTCTATACTTGCCTGTGACTACCCAGTTGATAAGGTTGCGTGCTATGTATCGGACGATGGTGCAGCCATGCTTACATTTGAAGCGCTTTCCGAGACGTCCGAGTTTGCAAGGAAGTGGGTCCCATTCTGCAAGAAATTCAGCATTGAGCCTCGTGCGCCTGAGTGGTATTTCGCTCAGAAGCTCGACTATTTGAAAGATAAAGTCGAGCCTACGTTCGTCAGGGAACGTCGTGCAATGAAGGTATCTCTTTTTTTTTTTCTTTTTTATTAATTATTTTCTTAGTTTACAAATATATAGTTATTTTTATTCTTTTTTTTTTGTGTGTGAAAAAACAATGATGAGTCATTCTTAATGTAGAATGTGTTTTGGTATCAACTCTCTGACAAGTGAACTTTTTGTGCAAAAAAATAAAAAAAAAAATGCAGAGAGAGTATGAAGAGTTTAAAGTTCGAATCAATGCTTTGGTTGCTATGGCACAGAAGGTTCCGGAAGAGGGTTGGACCATGCAAGATGGTACCCTTTGGCCGGGAAATAATGTCAGGGATCATCCTGGAATGATCCAGGTATATTTGAGCATTTTGTTTGATTGATAATTACTTGAACTAACCTTAAGGTTTAGTGTAATTGCACACACAGAAAAATAACTAACTCTAGTTTATCTTCTAAAATTACCAACTAATGTATTGCAAATGCAAATACTTCCTTTAATATGAAAAAATATCAAATTTTAATATATTACCAACTAATGTGTTGAGGTTTTTTATTTGTTTTGCATACAAACTCATATTAGTTGAATTTGATAGATAATATATATATGGGGGCATTTTTAATATAAAAAAATATCAAATTTTAAATGTAATTGGGCCAAACCTCAAGATTAGTGATTAAATACGATTTTATTAAGCTTTGCGTTTGCTCAACAGGTATTCTTGGGGCAAAATGGTGTTCGGGATCTCGAAGGGAATGAGTTGCCTCGTCTCGTTTATGTTTCTCGTGAAAAGAGGCCTGGATTTGAGCACCACAAGAAAGCTGGTGCTATGAATGCTTTGGTATTTGTCGATTTAACGACTGTACTGTTTTACTTATTTGTAAATGAGCAGAATTTTGATCCGTAATTTATTATTTCTCAACCACAGATTCGTGTCTCGGCTGTCATATCAAATGCACCTTACCTTCTTAATGTCGATTGTGATCACTACATAAACAACAGCAAGGCCCTTAGAGAAGCTATGTGTTTCATGATGGATCCTCAAGCTGGCAAGAAAATATGTTATGTGCAGTTTCCTCAGAGATTTGACGGCATTGATAGGCATGATCGTTATTCGAATCGCAATGTCGTGTTTTTCGATGTAAGATTCNCAGCGTTTTTCATAATCTAATTCTTTTTTTGTTTTTTGTTTTTTTAATTTGAAATGCTACCAGATAAATATGAAAGGGCTTGATGGGATCCAAGGCCCGATTTACGTCGGAACTGGTTGTGTTTTTAGGCGGCAAGCGCTTTATGGATATGATGCACCAAAGAAGACAAAACCTCCCGGCAAAACTTGCAACTGTTTGCCCAAATGGTGTTGCTGCTGTTTCGGGTCGAGAAAGAAGAATAGGAGAGGAAAGTCGAAGGATAATAAGTCAAAGGATAATAAGAAGAAGAGCAAAGGAAGGGAAGCTTCAACACAGATCCACGCTCTCGAAAACATTGAGGAAGGAGTCGAAGGTGAGCGAAAAATCTATTTGCTTATCTAATTTAAGGACACATGTGATTATAAATTTATAAAGTCAAATGTAATAAAAGGAAAAAGAAGAAATTTTTAGTACTTGCATTTGATTTTACTCATTCTAGAGCCATTTTTTTTTTCATAATCTTTGTTATTAGTTCTTTTATTTTAAATTTTCATGGAGACTACTTTCCATCTCTATCTACAGGAATCGAAAGTGAAAAGTCAGCCCTCATGCCCCAGATCAAATTTGAGAAAAAGTTCGGTCAGTCGCCTGTTTTCATCGCCTCGACCCTGCTAGAACAAGGCGGTGTGCCACCAGGGGCAACATCTGCATCACTTCTAAAAGAATCTATTCATGTAATTAGTTGCGGTTATGAAGATAAGACTGAATGGGGAAAGGAGGTACGCAAACGTCTTCAAAAATTACATAAAGATGAAAAAAAGTCAAGTTGGATTTTGTATTACACTTACTTCCTTTTCTACTTCAATAGTTTCTTTAGTAATNAAAAAGTGTGCTTGGTAATGGTACCCATTATTATTATAATTATTGATACACAACACAACACAGCACTTAACAATTCCATATTTTACCAGATTGGATGGATTTATGGCTCTGTGACTGAAGATATCTTGACCGGGTTCAAAATGCACTGTCACGGGTGGCGATCCGTTTACTGCATACCCAAAAGGCCCGCATTCAAAGGCTCGGCCCCCATTAATCTCTCTGATCGTCTGCATCAGGTCCTTCGTTGGGCATTGGGTTCAGTCGAGATTTTCTTGAGCAGGCACTGCCCGATTTGGTACGGATATGGATGTGGCCTGAAGCCCCTCGAGCGATTTTCTTACATAAACTCCGTCATTTATCCACTAACTTCACTCCCATTGATCGTTTATTGCACATTGCCAGCTGTATGCCTGCTTACAGGAAAATTCATCGTCCCTGAGGTGAGCCCCACATAAATCTTGAACAATTTTTACAAAAAAAAAAATGCTACCTTTAAGATTTATCACAATATTTTTCCATGTACTGATCAGCAGTTATGTGAGCCCCACATAGATCTTGAACATTTTTTACAAAAAAAATGCTACCTTTAAGATTTATCGTAATATTTTTCCATATACAGATCAGCAATTATGTGAGCCCCAGATAAATCTTGAACATTTTTTACAAAAAAAATGCTACCTTTAAGATTTATCATAGTATTTTTCCATGTACAGATCAAAAGTTATGTGAGCCCACATAGATCTTGAACACTTTTTACAAAAAAATGCTACCTTTAAGATTTAGCATAATATTTTTTTTTTCCATATGCAGATCAGCAATTATGCGAGTCTCGTTTTCATGGGCCTCTTCATATCGATTGCTGTGACGAGCATCCTCGAGATGCAGTGGGGTGGAGTCGGGATCGATGATTTGTGGAGAAACGAGCAGTTTTGGGTCATTGGTGGAGTCTCGTCTCACTTTTTCGCACTCATTCAAGGTCTGCTCAAAGTCTTAGCTGGCGTCAATACGAATTTTACGGTCACGTCAAAAGCGGCCGATGACGGTGAATTTTCCGAGCTTTACCTCTTCAAGTGGACTTCCCTTTTGATCCCTCCCATGACTCTTTTGATCATTAATATTATTGGGGTGGCTGTCGGGATTTCGGATGCTATAAATAACGGATACGAGTCGTGGGGCCCACTCTTTGGCCGGCTGTTCTTTGCTCTTTGGGTGATTGTACATCTTTACCCTTTTCTGAAGGGCTTTATGGGGAAGCAGGATCGGCTGCCAACTATTATTGTGGTGTGGTCGATTCTCTTGGCCTCGATATTCTCGTTGCTTTGGGTTCGGATAAACCCGTTCCTGTCGAGGGATGGGCTCGTCTTGGAGGTTTGTGGGTTGGATTGTGATTAGACTTATATTTACCTTATATACAGAGGAGAGAAGAAAAAAAAAAAGGAAGAAAAGTGGCATGATTTGGAGAGATTTTGATCACTTGGAGAAGAATGCTGCTGTTTTCCAGTAATAAAAGCTGTTTGGGTTGCTAATGTGCAAATAAGGCAACATTAAGGAGTTTGAAGAAGATAAGAAGCTCTGTTAGCGACCTTGTGTGTAGATAAAGAAA